AAACCAATAAATTTACATGCATTTTTCAATTTTACTTAGAATTTTCTTGGTGTTGAATTTCCATATCTTGGAGTGAAATTTTATCCTCTCATAATTGAACCAACTCCATTCTAAATGACTTCCAGAAAAATAATGTATTAGTTTCAAATACCTTAAACTGCAGTCCGTTTCATCCAGTCTAAATATATCTGTTTTAGTTTAAACCACCAACAAATACAGATATATGATGTTAGAAAATTATTAAAATTGTAAAACAAAAGTAGTTTTTATTTATCTAAATAACTAATTATGTTATATAATAAATATACATATATTTAAAAATAATAAAAATTTTATCACATTAATTTTAAAATCATCAAAAAAATTAAAATACTCTATTTTCAAAACTTAGAAAGGAAAAAATTCCCCTTTACGAGCCTCTAAAATATTGTTTTAAAACGTTACAAGTTAAACCATTTTCTTAAAAAGAAAAAAGATAACACTCAAAATATTTCTGTCACTACACAGTAAAGAGTCCATAGATCCCATAGACTATCGTCTTCAGCAGCGTCCTCCAACAGAGATATAAAATGTGAATATTTGATACATATTCAGCACCAGTGATAAATTCGCTCCCTGTTGCGCTTAGCTTTTCTAATCATCCAACAAAGTAAAATTGGTCGAAAAAATTCACCGGAAAGTTGAGGCAACTCCCCGATTTCCGGAGCCCAAAAAACCTATAAATGAGAAACCTAGGAATGACCTGGGAGGTTTGCAAATGAGAAACCTAGGAAAAACCTGGGAGGTTTTCCTTGCTAAAAAAAAAATCACTCCTTAGAAAAACAACTACAATTGGAATCTATATTCAATGAACAGTTGATAAAAAAAAAAGTGTTCAAACTTTCTTCAAGGAACAAAAAACAATTGTTCAAACAGAAGCCGGAAACCTTGGGCGTAATTAAAGTGGCATTACCTTGGAGGGATCAACTTTTCCGAAATTCTTTACGACGGAGATTACACGATCCGTGACCTCAGATTTATCAAGGAATGAACCCCTTACATCCTCTGAGAAATGACGCCGTATAGCGTTGAAGGAGAGGGCAAAGAGATCTGTGCTAGGTCTAGGGTTTTGGGATATGGGATTCACCTTTACTCTCAAGTATTTCAGAAGAGCACTCCTCGCCGCCGCCATTTGTAGCTACAGAGCTCGGTGTTTCGCGTAATCTTCTCTGAACTCAGGTGAAGTAAAAATCCTCTAGTTCTCTCGAGAAGAGAATGAGAGAAATAGCCACTGGTGGTTGTCTCCTGCCCATTTTTAACTCTGGAGAAAGGTTGTTTAAACGGTGTCGTATAACTGGGTTCACTCCCTGACCTAACGGTAGCAGTTCGGTCATTTACCATTGTATTATTTGTAATTCTTTCCGTTTAAAAAATTCACGTGAACTATGAAATTATTTGTGGTGATAATATAAACAATTTGCTCGCACATATTACTAATTTCTTAGATCGAATAAGTTTTTCCACAAAATATTAGTACTCATATTCTTAAACAATAAGAGATAATTAGAACTCTTTAAAAGGTAAAAAAAAAAAACAACTATTATATTTATCTCTCACTGCTCTCCACATCTTTACTCTCACAGCTTCA